TGAAGTTGGAAGTTAAATTTGACTTGTCATCAGTCAAAATAAGAAATTCAAAGTATTAGAAACGAATTTAGAACATGTTGATAAATTGGTAAGATTCTTGGGTTCTAAATTTAAGATAGAATGTTGGATATTAAGATGAGTTAAAATGGTATAAGTTGGGTAAAATAAGTGTAGTTAAGTTTAAAGGGCTAAAAGGGGGTTATATAAGAAGAATTAAATAAGTTTGGGTAAATTTTCAGGTAAGAAAAGTGATTTCTGGGCTATGTGTATCAGTACTGTTTCATCAGGTATCGATACTTCAAGAGTAAAATTGGGAAAGTATCATGATGTATCGATACATGAAGAATAGTATCGGTACCAAGGGTATTGATACCATAAGGACGATATCGATACCATCTTTGAAATGAGAATTACAGAATGCATTGTGGGTAACGATACATATGCATGGTACGGATACCACAGTTAGGGAAATATCGATACCTATATGGGGGTACCGATACTACTCCAAATAGAAAATAGAATTGTGTCTTTCTTTTAGTCTAAGAAATTAAGGATCAAATCATGAGATTTGGAATGTTGATATGTATATAATATGTTTGATTGTGTAGATATTGATCGGATGCGAGTATTAGATAAATCAACGAGATAAGATCGAGCAAGGAAGAAGTAAGAGCTCGGTATTGACTAGTGAGGCCAGGTGAGTGCATCTTATTTTATAGGATTATAAGGAAATTGGACTTGTGATATGTCTGTTTCCTATAGTTATAGTGCATGAAGTCTTGATTATAAGTATGTGAATGACATGAAGTGTATGTATGCTTGATTATATGAGTTGATATGTTCTTGTATATGCTATGTGGTTTATGTAAAAACATTATTAAGTGATAATGGGAGAATATAAAATAAGTTATGAAATTATATGAGTATAAAAGATAAGTAATGTGATAAGATCTATGTGATATATGGAAATGAAAATATATGTCTATGAAGAGTCATAAGAGAACAAATATAAGTCATATGATAATGAAATATAAGACTATGTGAAGACGTGATTATGAGATAAAATATGTAATAATAGGAGAATATGATGAAAGTGAAATCATGAGAAGCGATAGGAACTAGGTAAACATGTGTAATGGTTATATGAATAATAGAAACATGAGTTGGACAAGTACATAGTTGTATGATCAATTATGAGAATTAGTATAATAGAGTTATATGATTTAATGAGAATTGAGGAAAACTAAATAAGATTGAAATATAGAATGAAATGGGAATAGTATATCAATTAGGAAACTTGAATATAAAGTGATGATACGAACATATAAGATAAGTTATATGCTAAAGATCTATGGAGCTATATGAAAAGGTTATAAGGAATATATGAAATTAAATTAAGTAAATAGATTAAATTAGTATATAAATAAAATACTATTAAGTGATATATGTTTATAAATATGACATAGGTTATGTAATCTAAGTGAATACAAAAAAATAAAGCATAAGGTAGATGATATGATATAACTTATTATATATATATATGATATATGTTATCAAGTAATATGAAAGGACTTGGAAAGTTGATATAAGTTATGTGAAAGTGATCTAGGTGTCTATATGTGATATGTGAATCATGTGACAATAAGTTATACGAAAATAAGTGTAGTGATTACATGATCACAAGAGATAAGTCAGAGAATGTGAATGATATGATAAGAAGCTATGAGTCTATATGATATGAATAAGTGACTATGTGATAAGTATAAACATATTGCCCATGTTCTGTGTCATGAGAGCTAGAGGTATAGTTGGCATGCCAAGAGTCGAGGGTTCTACGTGGTCCTTCGGGACATATATGTAATCCTTTGGAACATATATGATGTACTTCGGTACACTTATTTGGTCCATTGGAATATGTATATGGTTCTTAAGGAGTGGTCCTTCGGGACATATGTGTTACATGTGGTCCTTCGGAACATTTCTACGCGGTTCTTCGGGACAAAGTTTGTGTGTCCCTAGTGGGATTTTATACGAGCTGTGGTGACAGCATATGTGCACAACCTCTATAGACTCACATATCTGTAGTTCTCACTAGTGTACCATGGGAAAACAAAATGATTAACTTAAATAAATTGGTTGAGATGATATGTGTTTGATTATGTGAAATGTATGATATGATGTGCATAAAGGTTAAGGATAAGATTACATGTGTAAAGGAATGAATGGAAATAATATTGATAATAAAAAGAATGTGAATGATGATAATATTAGTATATATATATATATATATGCATTTGTTACATGAAAAGACATATGAATTTTGTATGATATGATATCATTATATGTTTATGCATTGTTAGGAGTTAAAGTTACCTTATATGTTTTTCAATGCCTCACTAAGTCATCGACTTAGCGTGTGAATGTTTCACACGTAGGTTCCGTGAGCAAGAAGAGGAGCATGGATAGGCAAAGTAGGTCAGTTACTCCTTCCCAATGATTAGATCATAAAAGCATAATTTGAATAATATGTATTTTGTTATATAAAAAGTTGTTGGCATGAAATAATAGATTTGAATTGGATCCGCTCTGATAAGTTTTGTAAATTCTTTGATATAAATTGTATAAAGTATGCAATTTGAGTTAATAAAAGTCAACATTTTCATTCTTTTGTAAAAGAAATTGTTTGAATAGTTAATGTGACATCTCAGACTCTTATCCGGGTCGGATACGGGTTGGGGGTATTACAGTATCGATATTGTTGGTCCGGTTTTGATACTCACAAGGTAGTATTAATACCGAGGAACATTTAAGGATTTGAATAGCCATTTTCAGTATCGATAATCATGGGAGTGTATTGATACCAAGGGTAGAGTATCGATACTCCCCATAGGGGTATCGATACTGAGGTATTTTTCAAAACATCGAAGCTATTTTTGTTATTGGTACTCTAGATAATATCGATACCCTCTCATAAAAGTATCGATACTCCTATAAGAGTATTGATACCTAAGGTTTTTTCAAAACATCGAAGTTGTTTTTAGTATCGATACCCATGGTGAGTACCGATACCCAAGGGTTGATATCAATGCTGGTGGTACAATACTGATACCAACATCATGAAACTAGACAATTAACCTTATTAATTCAAGTGTTTGAATTTGAGGGTTTGGGGCCACAGAAGTCTAAGTACACGACTACAAGTGAAAACAACTATAATAACTATAAATACAACTAGACACTAAGCAAGTTAATATGACATAAGACTAGCCATTGTGTGATGCTCGGGAAACGGTCAGGAGACCCGAGTTACTCTAGTAATATGACGATCGTCCTTCATGATGTAATTTCGGATATTGTTGACAGGGTATGTGTCCGATACATATAAAATTTCAGTTCTTAATACCCCTAGACCCTCGAGCATTTCAAGGTAGGCTAGTGGGTTGTCCCGAGATGCACGTAAATTCCTCCGACTTCATTACTAGACCTATCTCATATATGCTGAAATACTTTTGCATACCCATTACTTTACACATCGGCATGTTCATGTAATGAATGCATATAGCATTGCATAGTTATTATCGTGGCATTGAGCTTGTGAGCTTAGCGACCGGAATGTGTTTCTGTACGCAGGTCAGTATAGGATTAACGAAGAGCCTATCACGCAGATACAATCCAGACCAGACGTTTCTTATAGTATGTCTTGAATCATTTAAAAGGCATGTATTTATATGGACCCTGTATTTATTCGAGTCATGACTCTATATTTTGGATTAAAACTCAGTGGTTGTATTTGTACTATTTGGGAGACTCACATATTTTGTAAACCTCAATTTATGAACTTTTATTCATGTTGTGGTGAAAGATTCATCGATGTTTTTACAAATGTTTTTGAAAGAAAATTTTTTGTTAGCTACTTTGGTAGTCCATGTAATGCCTTAACCGTACAATCCTCGAGTCAGACCAGATTAGGGTGTTAAAACAATAATTTTACTACGCTTAATATCGTAATTGATTCTAATATGTTAATTTGTTGTGGATTTGTTTTTTGGGTTTCTTTAATTTCAACAAAATTAAGAGATTTTATTGCAAATAATTATACATAAGGGAACCAAATACCATTAAACGTTTAAACTCTTGACATTGCTTTGATCGTTCTTTATTTTTGTATTATTGTCTGTGTGTACCCGTATTTGGAGCAGTTTTGTATATAATATCCATTTCGATTCTAGGTATAACAACTATAGTATGGCGAACTCAATTGTTGGTAAAGAAATAATCATAAACTTGCTTCACTTTTGCTCATAATTCTTGGCGTTAGCTATATGTTGTTGTTTTTGTCCGATAAAGGTGGATATAGTCTCTTTTATTTTCAAATTAAAAAGTTTTGAGGTAAATTTGATATAAACTTATTGTTCAATGACTTATTTGATGTTTTAACAATAGTTTAAGGGTAAAACTAAATACTAACCTTTTTCTTAACATTGCCACATCATCAATTTAACGGAGATAACGGTGAAGTAACCATTTTATTACAAATGGATAACGTTAGTGTCTAATTTGTTACTTTTGAAAATTCAGTGGAAAATAAAAACTTACTCAAACATTAGTGACCATTGATATAATTTAACCAAAATTTATTATGTATTCAAAGTCAAATAATGGAAATCAGCTGGATGTCAATGGACTAATTTCAGCTTCTTAGTATCATGTTCAGATTGCAATTTGAATACATGTTAACCATACACCTTTATTTTCAAAAAGAGACATAGTGATAAGACCCGGAAAGTGGCTTGTTTCTTTAGTTACTTTTGTAATTTGATTGATATGATTGTTTTCTTTGCTATGTGACGATTACATTGGAGAAGCATGACTTGAAAGTGAAGGGTCCTTTCAGTGAACTCGAATTACAAGAAGTAAGATGTATGGATATCAAACATTCATTTTCATCCCTATTCTATATTATATATATATATATATATATATATATATTCGTGTGAGTATATGCCTTTGTACCATTTGTGCAGATAAATGTTTCTTTTGTTGCATGGTTTCTTCTTTATATCGATAGAGAAATGGCAAGTACAGTACATAATGATCATGCATGGAATGCAGGTAATTAAGGGTATCAAATTATGCTTCATCGTTTTGAAGGAGAAAAGTCGATCGATGGGAAATTGTTGGGATTAATGAGGGCATGGAGATGTCTACTTCAAAAGTGGCTGCTGCTGCTTATCTTCCCATCTATCCAATCTCTGTCGAGCTTCTTCGACCTCCTTTTTCCAGTCTGTTCTAAATGTGACCCAAATCAGGATGAGGGTTTGCATGGCTGTGCCTCCGATCATCCCTGTCCATATCCCCTGAATACCAAACCCCTTCATCATTACTATATGGTACTTGATATTAAAAATGAAAAAGTGCATGCGTATACCTTGGCACCCAAATTGAAGTAAAAACCAAGAAGACAACCCAATGGAATCCCAACAACGTAATAGCAACCCACGTTCACGTACGCCACAAATGCTTGCCATCCACACCCCACGGCCACACCTTCATCCAATCCATGTTCAATTTCATTCCCCTTTTAAGATAATGTTAGATTAATGAAATTAAATGTTACGATTCCATTACCAGACAAGACTGGCTGAATTCCATTGAGGATGAGAGTTAATGCTAGAAGCGGACACAGATCTGAAACAGCCTCCGCCACCACTTCACCTTCCGTGAAGGCGTAGCTAAGCACGTGTCGTAGAATCATTATTATTATCGCCGCCACCACCGATATTATGAATGAAAACACCGTCACTATCACCACCGAGAACGCCGCCGATTTTGGATGCCCCGCTCCCAGCTCGTTCCCAACTCTTACACTGCTCATTTTCATTCATCTCTTTTAGCACTCATTTGTCAGAAAATAACAAACCATATATGTCTTACCTTGCTGCCGCATTGAATCCGACAGAAATCATAAACACCCACCCAGATATCGTCATGCTGAAAATAATGAACCGTTAAAAATATGATAACAGCAATTAAATTTTATAGTAATAGTTTGTTAAACACTTGATTACAAATGGATCTATGATTTTTACTTACCAAATGGAGAGTGAATCCAGAGCCAGTTCTGGGTTCTCAAGCAACCCTGCAAGCAGAACCAGAATCTGAAAATACCAAGTCTCCAAGCACAACATCACCGCCGACGCCGCCGATAACTTGAAGAATCCCGGCAGACCAGTGAAGGCTTGAACACTGAACCCATTCCATGTATATTTGCACTTATCGCTTTTAACTATGTACACAAATTGAGCTACCACCACGACCCACCACGACAAGCTCAACACCAACGACGCACCGAACAAACCAAGCCCCATTTTATACACAGCCAACCAACTTACCAGTAGATGTATGATTAATGTGGCTGTGGATATATAAGCACTAGGGGCCACTATGCTCTGAGCCTGCAGAAACTTTTGTATCGGGAAATTTATGGCGTACGCGAAGATTTGGGGTATTAGACCATATACGAAAACCGCAGCTGCGGAAGCAATTTCTGGGGATTCACCCAGTAATATCAAGATTGGTTTAGAGAATACGTAGATGATTGTAAGAAGAATCCCCGTTAAGGTAAGGAGAACTGCGGATCTTTGAAGATATATGCCTAGCATATCGTATTTGTGTGCTCCAAAGGCTTGTCCGCAAAGCGTTTCCACTGCACTCCCCATTCCTAACTACATAAATATCATAAAACAAAGTTCATCATGTCATCGAAGATATACATATACTGAAAATTATACGTACACTCTTGAAAGTATTGATAAAGTATAGGTTTTTTGTTTCTAGTTATGTTCATCAAGATTTAATCTTTGAGTTGACGATCAAGATTCAATCTTTGAGAATCTGTAATATGAAAAAGAAGAAAAGAAGAGCTGATGTAAGTACGTACCATGAGGCCGTAAGCAAAGACTTGGATGCCAGTGTTTCCGAGGGAGGCGGCGGCGAGTTCAAGATTACCGAGGTGGCCGGAGAAGATTTGGGTGGACATAGACATGAGATAATTGATCATGTATACGATAACAGCCGGTGCTGCCAAGTGGAAAAGGAGCTTCGACTCGATCCATGTTGCTTTCCCCAAACGCTCGAACAAGGAAAGGTTAGCGTCCGACAAAACATTCTCCAGATCCGAACTCGTCGTCTCCGATTTCATGCCCGAAGTTTGTGGTTGAAGAAGAGGTTGCCGGATGGCGTTTTCTTGAAGGGGTGCCATCGTTGGGCTTATCTGTTATGGCGTCTATGGCTGTGGACTTAAAAGAAAAGAGAGACCGAATTGGTGAGTGCTTCTGGTTTGTTGAGATATTTATAAATGGCGGCTAACGCAATCATTGAAGTCTCGAAATGGCCTTTGTTTAGTTTATTTATGAAGAAAATACCAATTTGAAGATTTATATTTGTTTCTGTACTGATTATTCACTGATCATTGTTGGGTTTTTCTGGCAGTTTATAAAGGGATATATTTGTTTCTCGTCTTCCGAAATTTTATGGCCATAAACGTAGTATTCTCAAATCTCTTCTTTTTCTTCCCCTTTCTAAATTCTCTTCCCAAAATTCGTTTATTAATTATTTTAACACCAAACAAAATAATATTAAATCATAACTCGTCTATATTCAAATCTCAGTTATCAAATTCTAACAAAAAAACAAAGACCAATACATCCCCTTTCCCTTATGAAAAAAGTCTTATATATTTCAAAATATTAATTAATTTTATAAATGGATTCAAATGCATAAAATTTGCAATATTCTCTCATTTAATAGGCAGTGCTGGAACCACATGGAGTGCAATATTATTTAATCTTATTTTAAACTCTAAAAAGTTTTAACATCATTCAAATTAAATTCAAACTTTTTTATTTGTTCCATTTGATTATTTTAAAATCTTATTAAATTTAAAGCTAACGAAATTAAATTTCGTCTCCAATTTTTTTTGTTTAATTATTTTTTAAAACATACTAATTTTAAAATTAAGTTTCGATCATCTATTTTTATGATCTAATAATGTTTTAAAATCTTATTGATTTTAAAATTAAATAATTTAATCCTTTTATAATTTCATCTTAATTCTGTCCTTGTATGTAAATAAAGAAAATTAAAGTGATTTAACCGTTATATTAGGGGAAAAAACATTAAACTCTACGAAAGATTGAAAAATTGAAGATGATTTTTTCAGCAGACAATGAAAACCAAAGATGTCAAATTCTATTTTGCTTGTGAATGTCTTTTATGATGATTGAAATTAGACCAATCATTTCACCATTTAAAAGAAAAAATAATAATAGCATAGCATTAATATCAGCACACAGATGGACCGTTAGACTCTAAGAGATGTAATCCCAACCTCAAAACTATACTCTTCTTCAGCCCATAATAGCTAAGCTGATATCATTTCACCAGTTACTGATCGTAGAACATGGTGAGAGATCAGCCCCATCCCCAGAGAAATAAGTATTTTATTATATTATTATTTATATGTGAATTATCATTTTTTATCAAGTTAAATGATTATAAAGTAGTATCTTATTAAATATTTTTAATTAATTGATATTGAACGTTCAATCCCCTTTGTTGTAATCATTGGTGTTCGAAATCGATAACTCTAAGAATAACAATAATTTATTTACTAACTATTGAGATAATTTGATTTGTACTATGTGAATTATCACATTAATATCTAAACCATCATATTAGTATAATAAACTATCAATTAGTATTATTAATAGTCACATCAATATTATAACATATAACAGATCTCAAAACATGAAATTAATATAATTAAAAAATAAAAGTATAATTATCGATTTGAGTTTACTACATAAACAAAATAATCCCTTGCACTTAAAACTAAAGACTAATTTATAGGACGTTAATCGTTCATTTTATTAAAAAGAGAAAATATGCAGAATTATAATGAATGTTTATAATGTAAATATGGATTAAACACATAATTAGAATATTTTTATATAATCATTGATACAAGAAATATGTCACTTGAGATCATACAATGATCATACATAGAAAATGTTAAAAATTCATCCGAAAAAATCAAACAAAAAATAGATACAAATAGATATAATTATACCAACAACAAAAAACACAAACGATTAAACTACTATAAATACCACTAACAATCGCAAATCATAGTTGGACATCGTGTGAGAAAAATATCTAAATATAAAACACGTATCCAAATTTGATCAAAATATCGAAAACAGAAAAGATCAGTAGGATAACAAATAAACACTATTTTAATCACTCGAAGTGACATCAAATCTAGCAATGAGACAAATAACAAAAAAAGAGGTCAAACGAAATATAAAAAGATTGAGAACATATTAAAAGATAGAGAAAAACACTAGGCGTCTATTTTTAACAAAAAATTCTTTAGACGCTAAAACGTTTTTTAAATTATAATTTTAGCATTTATTTTTGTATTAACCCTATTATATATATTAAATTATATATATATATTGTGTATAATATATCTTTTTAAAAATATTCTTTTATTTTTTTAGTAATTTATAAGTTATCATTTTATAACTGTTTAAATATAAAAAAAAATGTGTCCAATGTATACTTGTAGTTTTTGTTTAGTGTTTAACGTTTATTTTGTTACAGTTTGATATCCAATGTTTCATTTCTTAATTTAGTTTAAGTCAAGTCATGAGAGACAATTAATTTCGACCGTTAAATATCACCTGAAATGTTTTTTAATATTTAAAAATGATTTTTGAAAATAAAAAATTAATTAAAATTAAAAAAATGACTTATTTCCCTCTCTTCTCCTTTCTCTTTCTCTCTCTTCACCGAAAGCAGTAAATCTGGAGCTTGAGCTGGAAATCGAAGCGGCATTGCATCCCCGTCGATCACTTTTACAATGAGGGAGGCATTGTTGCAACCTCTAAGGTGCAACAGAGGAAGATATGGCCGTGGTTTTCGGTATCCAAATGGCGAATGAGCTTGAGGTGATGGAGGTGGAGGTTTCCGTCAGAAGAGAGGTTAGTTGCTGCTTTAATGGCAGACCAACGCGGATCTCATTTGCAGTGGTGGAGGGGTGTGATATTGGTGGTAGAGGAGGAAAGACGAGATTCATTGAAACTGAGAGACTAGACCTTGCTAAACTGAAACGATTAAAACTACGACCCCCTAAGTGCTGCTTGTGAGGCGTTCTTTGGTTCACAGAATCGCAACCATCTGGAAGGACTTCCTTCACAGTTGTACACACACGGGATTCCTCTTATCACCCTCATTTCCTTCTCTTCCCAAAACTTCGACCCCCTAGGTGTTGCTTGTTCTTCCTCTCTAGGCCTCTCTGTTTCAATTCCATTTACTAGGATAGATATGCGACTTGTTCTTCCTCTCTGAACTTAGGATTGGCCGCAACAACTTCTTTTAATTCACAAAGGAGTTTGTTTTTCCTTCAAGTTCTCAGTTTTGTCTTGCTTAAATGGATATGGTATCTTAGGTTGCTCAAAATTGATATTAAAAATGATCGTGAGCATAGGGTGTGAGAAACGTCTGTTGCCTTTGGGAATTTAGGTGATGGATCTTATTTTGCTTCTGATGAGTGGTAGTGGGTGCTGTTCATGTTTAGATGGTATGGAAGCTTCAAGTTTTTGGTCGACTGTAATCTTTCCAATCTTGTTTTTCTTTGCTGTACTTTTAAGGGGGTTGACTATTCATGCGATGGGGCTCGAACTCTCTCCTTGTTTTGATGGTTCCATATTTGGTACACGGTGGCGTCGAACTTTTGTTGCCAACTATGTGTGTGCAGTGTCGGTTAGAAGGTGAGAAGAAAGAGAGAAGAGGCGAAACACAGTGAACATGAGAGGGAAAATCATTTTTTATTTTGTTCGGGGAAGATGAGAAGATTAGCGGTAAGATGAGAGGGAAATTTTTATTTTATTTTGTTCGGGAAGATGAGAAGATTAGTGGTAAGATGAGAGGGACAATTAATTTTAAATATTAAAAAATTTGTCGGGATATTTCATGGCCGAAATTAATGATTTATTATAATCTGATTTAAACTGAGTTACGAAATAAAATTATAGGCATTAAATTAGAATAAAATAAACATTAAACACTAAACTAGAATTAAATATATATATCGGATATTTTTTTTATATTTAAACCTTTTATAAATTATGATATATATTGAAAAAATAATTTTTATAATAGTTTTAGTATTTTTAATATGTATATTAAATTTTTTGGTAATTTAAGTTTTTAAATATTTGAGTAATTTTATATTCAAATTTTAAATTAACTTTTATTTAAAAAAATTAAATAAACCTTTGAACTTTGAAAAAAGATCAATTTTACCCTCGAACAAAATAAAAAAATCAATTTAGTCTATTTTTCATATCATCAGTCTCATAACGGTCAATAATAGAAAATGTTGATCAAATAATCACATTAGATTTATTTTTTGAATTGGAATACTACATCGAGAGAAAAATAATACGATATTCATATTGATATTTTTATAAGCATAGGAACCTCTTGTTCCTGTTTTTTGCCAAAAATTATAAATCATATAAATATAAAATACATAAGTAGTCCTTCAATTATATGACCTTTTCATCACATCTTGAGATTATGAAAAATTATAAAATAATTACCTAAATTAAAAAATGACAAATTTAATCCTTTTCTGTTAATTTTTAACAAATATGATATAGTAATTAATAATAAATTTAACGCTTAACTTTTACATTTTATTTTAATTTAACCTCAATTCCAAAAAAAAATATCAGTATTTTAATATTAGATCAATATAATCCCACTCTTATTCATTTCCATTTATTCTATTCTTCATCTCCAAAACCCACACCAACTACAACTCTAACAACCTATACGGTCAAATCTCCAACAAGTCTTCAACCCCTCAACCATCAAAATATGTGGTCTGTGTGTATTCTTAACTTGATACGCAGGGATGGATCAAGCGGGAGCCGGTACCTTTTTAAATTCTTATATATTTTAAAAGAAAATTTTATAATGTTCGACGAGTACGGATAAACACTATTAATTTAATTAATAAAATTTTAAAATTCTAGAAAGCTCAACGTATGATTATAAATTAATTAAAAATTTTAAGATAAATTATTTAAAATAAAGGGTAAACTATACTAGTGAAAATCTAACTATTGTTTTTTTCATTTTAAACAACATTTTTAAAATTTTTTGAATCAGGTTACTCAACTATTTAAATGCAATTAATTAAGTCACTTGATGTTAATATTTAATGGAAAAGTAGATATGTCAATTAAAATATTTGATATAATTACATATTTGGT